CTCTGTCACCCAGACTGGAGTGCAATGGCTGCTCCCAGCCACCGCAGCCTCGACCTGCTGGGCTCCAGCGATCCTCCCGCCTCAGCCAAGTAGCTGGAACTACAGGCGTGCGCTCCCACACCCAGCTAATTTTTTGATTTATTGTAGAGATGAGGTCTTGTCAAGTTGCCTAGGCAGGTCTCGAACCCATGGGCTCAGGCAATCCACTCACCTCAGCCTCCTAAAGCACTGGGATTACAGGCTGAGCCACCGAGCCTGGCTAATTTTTTTTGATTTATTGTGGAGACGAGGTCTCGCTAAGTTGCCCAGGCTGGTCTCGAACCCCTGGGCTCAGGCAATCCTCTCGCCTCGACCTCCCAAAATGCTGGGATTACAGGTTTGAAACACCATGGCTGGCCCAGCTGAGATTGTTACAGACTGAAAAGAGGCCATTTTGTTTATATTAGAACAGTCATTTAGAAAAGACTTACAAACCTGTCTTCTTTCTAATTGAGTCAGGCTAAATGCAGAAGCCATTTGAATTTAAAAGTGTACCTTTTTTCTATTCCCCCCTCACTGCCCTCAACCTTCCTTCTCCTTTCCTAGCATGGCCTTGCCCGAATGGCCAGTCTTTTTTTTTTTTTTTAAAAAGCAGGAGAGGACAGAAAAGCTTCTAGAGTGGGAGGGGACCCAAGGGGGTTGTCCTGGTCAGTCTATTTAGTAAGCCATTGCTGGTGCTGAAGAAGAAACAACTGGCAAACCAGACCACCTGATAATTAGAAGAGCTGTCCAGACCAGCAGGACTGTATTTGAAAGCCTAACGTGGGCACTGCCCACCTCCCATTCATCTGTGAATATGAGAACATCGGACTGTTTAGGTTAGGGCTCTGGGAATAGGAGATTGTTACAACAATTATGTTTTAAAACAATTTAGGCTCGGTGGCTCAGCCTGTAATCCCGCACCTTGGGAGGCTGAGGTGAGTGGATCGCCTGAGCCCGCGGGTTTGAAACCCGCCTGGGCAGGTGAGACCTCATCTCTACAATAAACCAAAAAATTAGCCAGGCGTGGTAGCGCGCACCTGTAATTCCAGCTACGTGGAAGGCTGAGGCGGAAGGATCGCCGGAGCCCAGCAGGTCGAAGCTGCGGTGGCCGGGAGCGGCCACTGCACTCCAGTCTGGGTGACAGAATGAGACTCCAACTCAAAAAAAAAAAAAAACAATTTAGGCTGGGTGCGGTGCCTTAAGCCTATATAATCCCAGCACTTTGGGAGGCCGAGGTGAGAAGATTGCCTAAGTCCATGGATTCGAGACCAGTTTGGGCCACTTGGTGAGACCTCATCTCTACAATAAATTAAAAAATTATCCAGGTGTGGTGGTGCGTGCCTGTAGTTCCAGCTACTTAGCAGGTTGAGGCAGAAGGATCACCTGAGCCCAGCATGTTGAGGCTGCAGTGGTCATGAGACTCAACTCACAGAGTGAGACTCCAACTCAAAACAACAACAACAATTTAAAGTTATCATTTTAAATGTTGGGACTTTCCTTTCCAAATGTTGCAACTGTCTACTCCTTCCTATAAAACAGCGGTCCCCAGCCTTTTTGGCATCAAGGACTGGTTTGGTGGAAGAGTTCTAACACGGCCAGGGAAGGGTGGGGCAGAGAATTATCGGGCATTAGATTCTCATAAGGAGCATGCAACCTAGATGTCTCGCAAGTGCAGTTCACAATTGGGTTCTCGCGTCACAGACAGGTCTGTGGCCAGGGGGTTAGGGACCCCTGCTGTAAATAACATGTTGTAAACTATAAAATGTTATCTAAAATGTCAGCATGACCAGGAGACTTTGTGTCACGTCAGGGGTCACGTATCAAAAACTGTTCATGTAAATCTTGAGTCATGCTAAAACTGCACGTAGGCTTCAAACTCATGCTGGGTGAAGGACTATACATTTTTTATATAAATACTGAGATAAATCTGTGTTGCTTTGAGTGGGTTTTTTTGGTAAGGATACCAACCTGTTTCCCTATAACCTAGTTATAGAAATTAAACACTCTAGGCTGGACATGGTGGCTCATGCCTGTAAGCCCAGCATTTTGGGAGGCCGAGGCGAGAGGATTGCCTAAGTCCAGGAGTTCAAGACCATCCTGGACAACTTGGTGAGACCTCGTCTCTACAATAAATCGAAAAATTAGTCGGGTGTGGTGGTGCGGGGCTGTGGCTCTAGCTACTTGGAAGGCTGAGGTGGAAGGATCACCTGAGCCCAGCGGGTGGAGATTGCAGTGGCCATGAGTGTGCCACTGCACTCCAGCCTGGACTCCAACTCAAAAAAAAAAAAAAGCCCGGAGAGCGTGGTGGCTCACATCTGCAATCTCAGCGCTTTGAGAAGCTGAGGCTGGAAGACTGCTTGAGGCCAGGAGTTGGAGATCAGCCTGGGCAACATAGCAAGACCCTGTCTGCCGGAAAAAAAAAAAACAATTAGCTGGGCATGGTGCCATGAACCTGTAGTCTCAGCTACTCAGGAGGTTGAGGAGGGAGAATTGCTTGATGCCAGGAGTTCCAAGCTGTAGTGATTTCAACCACCGCGCTCAGCTTGGGTGACAGAATGAGACTCTGTCTCAAAAAAAAAAAAAAAAAAGTGTTGAGCCTGGAAGAGCTTAAATTGGCATTGGCCTGCCCTTGGAAGGCCTTTAGGAAGGAAGATCTTGTGGTACAACAAGAATTTCAAGGCGTGGGCCCAAAGGCTCCCTGGCAAGAGCATTTGAGCTTTATAGGACAGTGTAAGTTGTTTCTGGGTTTTGAGGAGGCTGGGGTTATAGGCGGTAGCAAGCCCACATCCTGCTCTTCCACCTGGCAGTCCTCTCCCCACCCACATGCTGATAAGACATCATACTCTGGCTGTGTCTCCCTGAGATTTAAGAGAGGCCTCGGCAGTCACGCCCATGTGTTCCGTTTCCATCCTTGGCCTTATCCATTTGCTGCTGCGAGTAAATCAAAACAAAAGAAACCTGACATTGAGACACTGAGGACATCGTTCTCCCTCATTTTGAACCTGGGCAAGCCTCTGTGGTTTTAGTAAAAGCATGATGGCCTGGGAGCAGGGGACTTGGGCCCACCCCTGGGTGCCAATGGTGCTTGTTCCTGAGCAGTTCATTATCTGGACCCAGGGTTAGGTTCCTCATCTTGAAACTGAAAGGGTAGGGCCTGGCGCAGATGGCTCACACCTGTAAACCCAGCATTTTGGGAGGACAAGGTGGGTGTATTACTTGAACTCAACATAGTGAGACCTTGTCTCTACCAAAAAAAAAAATTAGTCTCCAGTCTGGGTGACAGAGTGAGACCCCCAACTCAAAAAAAAAAAGAAAAGGACTGGGCATCGTGGCTCAAGCCTAAAATCCCAGCACTTTGGGAGGCAGAGGCAAGAAGATTGCTTGGGCCCAGGGGTTCGAGACCAGCCTGGGCAACTTGGCGAGACCTCATCTCTACAATAAATCAAAAAATTAGCCAGGCAAGTGGCACACACTTGTAGTTTCAGCTACTTGGGAGGCTGAGGTGGAAAGATCGCCTGTGCCCAGTAGGTC